TATTAAAAAAAATAGTTTCTCTACAATACTAATCAAATTCACTTGCGTTTATTTTGCACAAACTTAATTGTAGGTCAACTATATCTTAAAAAACAATCGAACAAAAACTTTCTAAACTCTGGTTTTATCTAACTTAGAAAAAACATCCATACCGATTTATATATAATTCATTTTTATTCGTATGCATATCAAATATATATGTTTGCGTTTACACGTATAAATCTTCATTGTATAATCTTATCTCAAATTTGTGGGTTTGCTGATTGGCAAGTGTTCGTTTCTTATATTTAGGGAAATCATAAAATTAGGTGGGCAACGAATTTCGTCAATGATAAGGCCTGAAATGGGTGGGTAAGGGGAATGAAAAGGGATCGAGGTGCTTCATATCCTTCAGGATAATCGCACGCGTTACCTAAAACTAGACTTGAAGTGAATTGGAATCCAAAGTGAACGATTACGGGATATGGTTGTACAACCTATTTTACAAAAGAGATCTCTTTTAGCCAGCCTTATTGCCATTCGGCTTGTCGCCGAAGCGCAGTATGCGCGTCAGCATGGAAGTGAGGCACGGTATCTGTTTCTGGCGATCCATCATCGGAGTGGCGGGCACGTTCGACTCAAAGTCTAGGGCTACACGCTGGTTAACAAATGTGAGCAGGGTGAGCATGTCGTACTTTTTGCCATTGGTATTTAGCTCTCGGATCAGCGACTGCATGTACCAGGAGCCGTTGTTAATGTTGCGCCAGGAAAAGTATCCTACAAGTTTTGTTGTTAGTTAAATACAATGTCATTTGCATATAGTTATTATTCTTACCCGGAATGGTCGAGTACGAGAAGAGAAAGTCTGCGTGTATGGGTATCTTGTAGCTCATTGAGGACTCTCCATCCGTTTCGGTAACGCTCTTCTCGAGAGTTATGCCTCCGTCCAATCGATCGCCCTGGCAGGCTTGGATGAAGAACATCTTCGGCTTGCCCGCCAACGAGGGACAAAAGGTGGCAGTGAAGTAGTGCCATATATTGTCCAACTTGTACTGCACATCCTTGGCATATAGGTAGCCATGCTCCCCGTGGGAGAGGATTGCCACCGCCAGGCAGTCATTATCCGTGTGATCCTGTAGGGCGGCCTTCTCGATGTGCTTCAAAATATCCCTCAACTTGCAGTCCTGGTGTACAGACACTGTGAATCCCAGGGCAGTCAAGGCCTTGTTCAGCTCCTTGGCATCCACATTCGTTCCGCTGCGACTCTTCAGCGAGGGTATATCGAAGTGCTCGTGATTAAAGATCAGAGCCAGCCCTCGGTGCTTGTGATTCATATTGTACTCGCTTGCATATCGCTCAACGGGCATTCGGGCCACAAATTTATTGGCCGGAAGGGGGGAGGCGCTGCAAAAAAGAGATGCATCCACTAGTCAACAAAGCAATCGTTATTCGTTACAATGGCCAAAACTCAGGCGCGATAAGATTAGATTAGATTAGATCTTGGCCAAAATTGTCAATGATTAATAGATGATTATGAAAAGATTTGTTCAGTTATGAGTTTCTCAATACAATTGAGGAAGTGGAAATGGGTTTTATATTGCTGCGCATTTCCTCCAATAACCAAAAATAAAACAAAGGTATTGCATTTTAATCAGAAAACACTTCAAAGACATTCGCATTACAGTATTTGACAAATTGATTCCATTGATTAAGTGATATGGCTACAATGACTAATGATGAGAACCCATTTATATAAAATTGTTTTCCAATCAAAAATATATTATAATAAAAAAAAATGAGTACATCCATTTTAATGTTTTATGAATATTATTATACCATTATCTTACAGAAAATTTTGATTGGGATGTTTAAATAGGTATTGGCAAAATAATTACAAACTGTTGAATTGGCGTTTAAAAATTATTTTACGAATCTTTGACTGATAAGATAAGATATGATAAAGTCCATAACTTAAGTTTAATAGGGGGAAGAACAATTTCCTAAAAGTGGTCAAATTCGCAAAAATATATTTTAAGAAATTATGATTTTAGAATTTTTCCAGGATTGTAAATAAACAACAACATTGATAACAAGGGCTGACAACAAAACACACAGAGAGAGAGAGCGAGAGAGTGAAGTAGGGAAAGAGAGCAAAGAAAAAAGAGTGCGGCACATGGACTTACCTCGCTGCAGTTGCACCACCAACACCAACAACAACCGTTTCCGTACAGCCCTTGGCATCGGTATTATCAGCTATAATGCTGCCCCGATTTCCAGCTCCGTTCGAACTAAAAACGCCGTAGTTTCTGGTTATGCACTCGTCCGTCATTTTGTGTCCGTTTCTCTCCTCTTGTTTTGATTGTTTGCGTTTCTCCTTGCCTTTTGTTCGTCGTCTGCCTGCCGTTTCTTATTCTCCTCCTCCTCCTCCTTCTCTTCTTCTTCTCCTTTAGTTGTTGCGCCCTTTTTAGGTTGATTGTTCTCCAATTCTTGTTCTGGTTTCTTTATCGAGTTGAGTTGGCCAAACTTTCCACAGCACAGCTGTTTTTCAGCTTTTGTCGGTTTTGTTTAGACAAAACAATCGAGCGAATGTCCTTTTATGGATCAGCTTAGCCGTGCTTAATCAATCAATTACGGAGGTTAAGCGTGCTCGCCGCCGCGAAAACAAACTTCAATTGCATCGGTAGTGGTGTGTATGCACTTGCCGCCAAGCGGAGATGGCCAGTCGTCGATAATTCGACGGTTTGATAAATCGCAGTGCGATTAAATATCGATTGGTTTGTTATTTTATAGGGGGTATTATAGTTTTTGGCGGGCATTACCATTTCAAATTACTTATTTTATTAAAGTTATTTTATTATTAAAATAACGTTACTAAAAACTAAAAAAAAATTACGATCGCGTTCTTCTGTTAAAACTCCCTAACATAACACTTACTTCTTTTTTATTACCAGGTTTACGCCGGTGATGGAATGCCTGGGCTCATTTGCCTGGAATGCCGTCTGCTGTTCGAGCACTGTTACCGCTTCAAGCAGATGTGTAAGCGGGCAGAGACCCTCCTCCGACAATATCCCTTGACCGGAAACTGGCCCTCGCCTCTGGAGAAGCCCCGTGCTCCCATGATGACGGTAATACCCAAGAAGGTGGTAGTAGTTCCAGCCCCTGTCGTCGAGACGTTGGAGAACCCCAAGAAGCTCCTTAACACCATGGCCAAGTCAAGCCAGATAGTTGTCGAGAACGTCCAAGTGTTGGAGACAAGTTTGGTGCCCCAGAATCCAGTTGTAGTTACCCCTCAAGCCAATCGCCGATCTCACGCCTACGAGTTAAAGGTGGAGAACAACCAGGAGCTATCCATGGACGATGTGCAGAACATGCTGGAGGACATGGCCAACGAACTGGACAAGGAGATGACAGCAGCAGCACCAAAGCCGTCGCCCAAAAAACCCAAAGTGTTGAACAAGTCGTCGATTAGGATTCTGAACAAGGGACCAGCTGCACCGGTGGAACCGCGCATTGCCACGCCGCAAGTCAAACGGGATGAGAGCGGCAACGTGGCTGTAGTGACCGAAGTTCTGGACGTCGACATTCAGCTAGATTATCACGATGATCCAACCAAGAACACCGAGACGGTGGCTACCAATGTATTTCCGTGTCCCGATTGCGAACGCTCGTTTCCGCTTCAGCAGCTACTTGAGATCCATCAGCTGAATCATACGCGCTCCCGCAGTTTCCAGTGTCCCCATTGCGAGAAAAGCTTCTTCTCGAAATACGACCTGGCCAAGCACAACTTTGTTCACACTGGCGAGCGACCATTCAAGTGCACCATCTGCGGAAAGGCCTTCACCAGGAAGGCTCTGCTCCATCGCCACGAGCGCACCCACACGGAAATTCCCAAGATCATCTGCGTATACTGCGAGAAGCAATTCATCTCGCGCCAGGAAATGGAGAAACACGCCGAGCGGCATAAGAAGAAGCGTCCATTTAAGTGCGGCGTCTGCAGCAAGGCGTTTGCCTTCAAACAGGGACTGGAGCGTCATGAGGTAAGGATATTCGAATGATACAAAGTCCAGCAGCTAATATACTTTATTGTTTCAGGTTGTACACTCCACCAATCTACCTTTTCCCTGCCAGCACTGCCCGAGGAGCTTTTCCACAGCCTCCAAGCTGGCCCGACATCTCGTGGCTCACGCCGGGAAGAGGGCTTATCCCTGCAAGTACTGCCCAAAGTCGTACCTGTTGTCCCACCATCTCTCGCGGCACCTGCGCATGCACACACAGACTTCGGACGCCATGTTCGTGTGCAGCGAGTGCAAGAAGTCGTTCACCAGCTACAACAGCCTGCTGGAGCACGCGAGCGTGCACGCCAATGCGACCCTGAAGTGCCCGATGTGTCGGGAGCAGATCGAGGATATTGACAGCGTCGATGCCCATATGGAACAGCACAAGGAGAGCGAGCGGTTCGCCTGCGAGTTCTGCGATCACATCTTCTTGACCCAGAACTGCCTGCAGAAGCACATCGAGGACGATCACGTGATTGACATGGAGCCGTACCAAGTCGATGAGGAAGGCGAAGGGGAGGAACACATCGAGGAAGATTTAGATCTGGACGATGTAAAGCATGAGGAATTTGAGGCGGAGTATTTGGATGAAGATAACTTAGATGACGACCACCTCGATGATAGCGACGAGTCCTTCACGCCGCCTACTAAGCAGCGAAAGATCATTACTCCCAAGGGAGTCGAGACCGTGTCGTCGCGCCAAACCCGGAGCCGAGATACTCAAAAAGTCTCACCAAAGGCAGTCGCTGTGAAGAAGGATGCCAAGTCGCAACCCAAACTGGATCGCTTTGTAGTTAAGAATCGCAAATCCGCGAAATAAGAAACCAGAGATTGGATCCATGTTTATCCTTACACATTAAAATTATTATATACTCCAAGAAACTGTTCGTTTATGGGGATTCTCTTCTGATTATAGCGTATTCCTGGCTAAAACCATCCCATACCTCTACTTCTTCAAAGGTTATCCTCGCTCTGATTTGATCTTTATTGAAGCGCCAACTGGAGTTTAAGTAATGGTGTTTTCTCAGTGTGTCTGTGTATTTCCGCCTAAAGTTGAGTTTACATTAACGTTTATCACTACCAAACAACGAAGGCGGTGGCCACCTAGTGCTCGTAACCGTCGGGCAGGGGGTTGACATGGGGGTTGTGGAACAGGCTCTTCTGGCCCTCGCCCCAGGGGAAGCGCTTCTCGCGGCGGCGCAGGTAGTCGTACTTGACGAACTCCTGGCGGGGCTTGTCGTGCTCCTCCTGGTGCTTCAGGTAGGCGTTCAGCATGCACAGACCAACGGCGGGAGCGGCCACGAAGAAGGACAGGCGCTTCCACACCTTGTAGCCACCTTAAATACGACACAGAACATGGATGTGATGTTATAAGAGGGACTCCTCGCATCGATCTTGCCCAATGGCCAAATTACATAACCTTAACCTTACAAAAGCGGTCGAATTTGGACGTTGGGACTCCGGAAGGACACTTACCGGAGTGCTCGCCAGCCACGGCGGCAGTGCCGGACATATTCCGGGCGGCAGTAGCGCCAAATTGGCGACGAATTGCGTGATTTAGAATAGCAGACATATTTTCAGTCGATTCTTGGCCCGAATGAAAATTTGCTGTTTTGACAAGTAAATAGGGGTGGCCAATCGCCTGCCAGCGATATATCGTTACTTGTTCGCCTTTGGAAATCGATGTTTAAGTGATTTTGGGGGTGATTTGTTAAAACATTTAAAATAACATATCAATTAATTTATTTATTAAAAAATAATACATATATTATTAAAACTTAACTTATTTAAACACCTCATTAGTTGCGCTTTGCATATGTTTCTTTTACTAAATTTAAATTTCAGGATCTATTTTTAAAAAAGTGTATTCATACAGTGACTCACATTTTATTTGCTGCAGAGCCTATTCAAAAATGTATTCGGCTGTAAATTTTGGACGTAAAGAGCTATGTTAAAAATATATTTTGTATAATAAAGGAGCATCGTATGTTGTTAAAATTTCGGATTGAAAAAAGTGTTAAAAAGAGCAATAAATGTTAAGAGATTCTAAAATTGTCACATCGATATTATTTTTTGTATATTTTTCAATTTATTTTTAAAGATATTTAAAAGTTACAAAAAAATCAGCTCTATATCAAAATATCTTTACATTTTTGACAAAAACCGAACCACTAAAAAAAATCTTTAAATTAACAAAAATTCTTGTTATGAACCAATCTCCGCCGTGACAGCCCAGTCACAGTTCCCAGTGATCGCCCATCTCCAGCGACAATCGACACACGCGACCACCACCATCGCTAGGATAGTGTGGGAACATCTTATCGAGACTGGAGTCGGCTACCAATCGTCCATCCACAACAACAACGTGTCGCGTAATTATTTTCCCCTCTTGTTTATAAAATTCAGCGCATTAAATTGTAAATACACTGCAAACTTTTGCCAAACAACAACAAAAGTACTCGGCTTGCGTTGGAAAAGCGCAACAACAGCAACACGAATTTCAGCAACGAACGGGAAAATCATTTATCGAACGGGCAGTGAAGAGTTATTAATTAGGCGAAAACACCAATTGAAGTACAAAGCGAACCCCCAAAAAACCCCAGCCAGCTATCCATTAAGTGCAAAATTTGCAAAATTCTCACTAGACATAACGAATAAAAGCACGGCGGCTACACTCGCAGAAACAGAAAAGTATTACGGCGGAAGGAGTGAAAAATCGAGGGGAACGGACCCACTACCGCTACAATGGCTGCCAATAACTTGCGACAAATACCGCTTACCTGCAGTGGACATACGCGGCCAGTAGTTCACCTGGATTTCAGCGACATCTGCGACAGCGGCTACTTTCTCATCTCGGCCTGCAAAGGTAAAAGTGGCGAAAAATCGCATGCGATTAGGCGTCCTTGTGCGCTATATATAGACTATATTCCGTCGTCGCACAGTGGTTGATACTCTAAAAAATCTTCGTGAAATTGTCTGCTTGGTTTTCTTATTGCAAATTTGAGATAAGCGTAGCGTTGAAATCTTTCTAATATATTAATCCAGTTAACACTACTCAAAGGAGGATAGTTTTTTCGCATTCAGCAACCCAAGAACTTATTGTTAGGATTTTAATTTTGAAAATATTGAACAAAAATGTTTCTGTACATAATTGTAAAAATTACAAATGAATTTTAATCAAGTAGAAGCTAAAAGCTTGGAAAAATTTGTTAGCATAAAGATAACGTCTAGTAATATGAAAACCTACTACCTTTAAAAGTAGTTTTAAAATGATTTTTGAACAATCTTTTTATGTTCCATATGTGCACATACGAAGTTAGGGTAATAAAGTCATAAAACAACCAGAAAGTTTATAAAATAGTTACAAAAAAAAAAGTGGCCTACCATCATTCTTTGATAAATTATTGTTTTCGTAGAAAAGATGCTGCATCAGCGGATCCGTCGATCGGCAAAACATATGTACTTGCGAACAAACACGATTTAGCTCCGTCTAGGCTGTGCTTTACCTTGACCCAAATGCAAAGTCATTCATCGCGAGCGAAACCTGTTTGCTGCGAACCCTTTTCCCGCCAATCGCATGCTACAAATTTCACGTTCTTTGCCTTGAGGTGTCAACTAGTCGATGCGATGCGATTGCTATTGCTGTTTTGCCTGTTGTTGTATTGAGACAACACGAGTGTGTGCTTTGCATTCGATGCTTTCGCTAAATGTTGCATTTATGCGGAAAGAGCGTACTCCCAGTGCAAGTTCAAGTTAATTTCGTTATCGCCTTTTAACGTACTCGCTTCCCCTTGTTTAGCAACTTTTCAAAACTTTGCTCGTTTTGTGCTTTCAATTCAGTTCAGGAAGCGCCTTGAAACTTCTATATTTATATGCTGTGTATATGCAGCTGTTCGACTGTCGGGAGAGGAAAGTCATCTGTATACGCTAACAATTAAGAAGAAAAAAATATTCAATATTTATTATTTATGTCCCTGAGAAATGAGAAAAATTAAAACCAAAATTGCATTTCAGCAATTATTATAAAATTTTAAATTATTTGAATTTGTGTCTAATTATTTCATAAAATACTAAATAATCACCGTTTAATTGAATCGCAATTATTTTTATGAGTTAGATTTATTTAATGATATTATCTTTTGTTTGCCTCTTTGTGGTTACTTCCTTTTTTTAACTTTTTTAGATCGAAACAAATTTTGAATTCGAAATATTCTTTTCTTAAATGTTAGTCCATTAACATTTATAAATGAGTTTAGTGTTAGGAAAATATTTAAGTTGCCTTAAATATGCTCATTAAAACAGATTTTTATTTATTTCTTGGGTGTCTTTATGCTGCACTAAGGCAGGCATTTAAAAAAAAAAAAATCAACCTAAGAGACCCTTAATTTGTCAAAGATTTCCCCTCTGTCCATATGGATTTACTATATACCCACCAACTGAACTAACAAGCCGTGTCCCTGCACTGCAGCAACCTGGATGGGAACTGCACTTCCCTGCCTCCCGATCCCGATTCCAATTCCGATCCCGCCGAGCGGTGCGGTGCAGTGCAGGTGACGTGAACTTGGGGAGCTCGCTTGCATGATTGCGAACGTCAGCCAGGTCGTTGGCCTTGGCGGCAGGCATTGAGTCAAGGTGGCTTCCGTTCGTTAATTTATGCACGCACGCTCGCCGGGCGAAAGCGAATGCAATTGACCGAGAACTGTGATCTGAATCTTGCAGATGGCAGCCCGATGCTGCGGCACGGCGACACCGGGGATTGGGTGGGCACCTTCGAGGGACACAAGGGCGCCGTGTGGAACGCCACCCTCAATAGGAACGCCACTTTGGCCGCCTCCGGAGCGGCGGACTTTACCGGAAAAGTGTGGAACGCGGTGAGCGGTGCCGAGATCCATAGCTTCCAGCACAAGCACATCGTCAAGAGCGTGGCCTTCGACATGGATTCCGAGAACATAGTGACCGGCAGCAACGAGAAGCTGGTGAGGGTGTTCAACCTGGAGCAGCCGGAGGCACAACCAGAGGAGTACGCCGGCCACACGGGGGCCATCAAGCGGGCACTGTTCTGCCGCGGCGATAAGTGCATCATATCGGCGGCCGAGGACAAGACCGTCCGCCTGTGGGACCGCATGACGGGCATCGAGGTGCAGCGCCTGCAGTTCAACAGCAACCCAAACAGCCTGGAGATCTCCAGCGACAATCACATCCTGACCATATCGCATGGCAACTCGATTAGTTTCTGGGAGATCGACACGCTGAAGAAGCTGAAGGAGGTGAAAGTGCCGACGAACGTGGCGTCGGCCAGTTTGCATCCGGATAAACATGTCTTCGTTTGTGGCGGCGAGGACTTCAAGATGTACAAATTCGATTATATCACAGGAAACGAAATTGGTAAGAGAGCGTACCCTCTAGATGTAGATCTTAAAAGCTAATGTCTGATTCCCCCAATAGAATCCTTCAAGGGCCACTTTGGACCCGTGCATAGCGTGAAATTCAGCCCGGATGGTGAGCTCTACGCCAGCGGCTCCGAGGATGGCACTCTCCGGCTGTGGCAGACCACCGTGGGCAAGACCTACGGCCTCTGGAAGTGCACGGAGCCCTCGGATCTGGGCAATTCTCTCAGCTCGCCGCGCGAGGTGCAGGCGAACTGATGTTGGCGCAGCAGGAGTCGCTGCTACACAGCCCACGCTGCACCGGCGACCAGCAACGCAAGGGCACGTGATCCGGAGCAACGGCTGAGATCCGATTATCAAAAGAACAACTCGTAATGTGGGCTACAATAACGATTTTTCATATTCCAACGCTGAACTCTCTCATTGGCATTAAATGATAATCACACACAAAACTACATTGTGAAATGCAATAGAAATAAATAACTTAAGTGTCGCATTTGTGACGTGAATGGATTCGAAAGTTCCCTTGTTCTTAGATGTGAGTGCCAGTGGCCCAGCCGTGCAGGTAGATGGTGGTGAAGTTCAGCAGCGGTTCGCCCTGATGGACATCCGGGCGGTTCTGGAGGTGATCGAACCAGCGCGAAAGATTCAAATAGGCCTCCTTGTCCACCGGCGAGAGAGATTTCTAGAGGAATAGACAAGGGGTTAATGACAAAATCAAGGTAAACGTGATGGGGAAGTATTATTTTTGCCTTTAGGACTTTCACATCTTTATCTAACATTCTAGTTACAATATCTTTCCGATTACTATCGGAATTATGTGAGTTCTAAAGGTAGGTTTTAAACTGAGAAACAGTATTGATATGTGCAGCCTGAAATTGGCACCTAAATACAAATTTCTGTAGAGTTTGACATGGAATTAATGAAAAATTTAAGGTAATGTGATGGAATAGGCTTTTTTCGGCCTTCCTACACCAAACTGAAACATATTAAAAGGTATCCCAAAAGTTTTGTTTAAAAAACAACTAAGTTATTTGAAATTGACTAGATTTTGGGCCAAAGAGATCTAATAAGCTGAAATAAAGACTTGTAGCCCGAATTAATCCCCTTCATATAACATATTCAAATATCTACTCACCACAAGATCGTAGATGGCATAGTAGACGGCCAGATCGGCCAGTGTGATGAAGTGACCCACCAGATAGGATTTGCTGGCGAAGAGCTTGTTGAAGTCCGCCAAAAGTTGCTTGGACACGTACTTGTCCTTGGAGCCGGGCGCCACGTAGAGAACGGAGAACTCGATCCACTGGTACACCTGGGCCTCCACCTCCCGCGATGCCTTGCTGTTTTGGGCCGTCTCCGACTTGGATTCGTGGGCCAGGCTCTCCAGGATTGTGGCAAATCCGGCCACGGTCTTCTTTTGGCCACTCGTGCGCGTTACGACCTTCACAACAGAACATAAATTGACGGGGGATGGGTGAGAATTCTTCGGTTTGAGGGTCAGCTATGCGGGACGCACCTGCTCCTCGTTGAGCTGCACCTTGCCGGGATTGACGCCCAGGCAATTGGCAATCTTCTGTACAGTTGCGACGTCGCACATGGTCAGCGAAATTTAAGTTATTTGCGTGCAAAAAACAAGATACGATACTCCAGAACCGTAATCAGGGTTGCACTCTTGCTCTGTGCCCTGAAATCTATCGATAAGTGTGCTATCGATATAGCTTAGGGCGGTATTTTTAAAGTTCTCTAACTATCAAGGGCAAACAAAAACAAATAGTATTTATACTTATGCAAAAATTAACATATTCTCTTTTCTATGAATTTATACAGGTTATGAATTTATTTAAAAAATGGCAGACCTTTAACAAAGACTTATGTTGCTCTGTAACGCTTTTTTGAATGTATTTAAAATACATTTAAAAGATCAATATTTTATATTTGCTATGATTATTCTTTATTAGAATTGTTACAAAATATTTTTACAAGTTAAATGGACCGTAAACATTTCACATTTTTTTATATTTAAAATGTGAAATGTTGGTGCCTAAGTTTTGGTGGTGTTTCCCTGCATCGATTTAGACAAAGCCTCATAGGTGACATCATATTGCAGCAGGAAGATAAAGAAATTCGCAGAGGCCACTAGCAACTATAAAACAATTAACAGTGAAAGGATATAAAATAAAGTTAAATTGTGCCAACTTACTGCTGTTAAAAACTTTAGGTCCAGCTCGATGACTCCACCCACCACATGCTGTCGTACATTTGTCCGCATTTGGAGAACAAAGTGGTTAATAGTCTCCTGAAGATCACTGTCATTACACGACACTCCATTTAATATGGTCAAACACTTGGATTGCTAAGAACTTAATAAATTATATGTTGAAAAATAGGTGTTTAGAGTGCCCCACCTCATTTTGAATCTTGTGATTGAAGTACAGGATGCTGCAAATCTTTCCCAAGTGCATGGCCAGCCAGAGGATCATGTACAACCACTTGGCCCAGTCGTCGATGGCGGGGTTATCAATGCCCTGGTATACCAGAAATAGGTTGAGGTTGAAGTTCAAGAAACAGCCAACGAAGAGGAGTACTATAGAGTACTGGAACGTTCGGTTAACCAGTTTAGTAAAATTGTTCAAATCCGCGTGCTGAAGGCGGTATCTTTGAACCTCCACTTTTCGCGGATGACATAATTGCAACAATTCTCGCTCCAGATTTTCGGTTACTTTCCTCTGTCGCCATGCGATTCCTTGGAGCAGAAGGTAGTACTGAATAAACGATAAACCACTTATGATATTAGGCATCACATAGCTGTTGATACTCAAGATCGATTTATAGATCACACATTTCTGGCTCCAGATGTCCATGGCAAAGGCTAAACAGGTAAAAGTCCAGACTAGGAACAACTGCAGGGCTACGAACTTCTTGGTTCTCTTGCCATCTATGGTATAGCCCCTTTCCAGATCAGTCCTTACAATATCTTTTAAGACTTTCGGAATCCAGTTTCTTCCTTGCAAAGTGATGAGCATAATGACAAAAATATGGATTACATAGATTCCCGATTCAATGGCATTGAGATAACGATCCAGGGAAGCCCTCTTCAAAGTGATGAGCACGAATTCCCAGTAGGAGGCCAACGTGAAGCATCCATACCAGACGGTAATCCAACATAAATGAAGCAAACGATAGAATCTATTGGTACAGCCTGGTAAAATTGTTATGGGTGCTGTGTTTGCCACAACAGAGATAACTAAGAACCAATACAGGGTCTTAATCAATTGTTGAAACCTTTCCATGCATTGTTGATGGAAGGTAGATGGTCTGAAAACGTATGGAGCTATAGTATTGTGACAAATATTTTGTCCAATTCCTACCCTTGTCTTAGCCAAGCTTTAAGTTTGGGACGTTTCGATTGAAGTTTCTTCGCGCTCCACATGATGACTACTGAGGATTTCAAACTTCTTACAATCATTTAAGCCTGTCAGGACCTTCAATCCAATCATTAATCATCATTAATCAACGGAAAACCATTTAACCACTTATACTCATTAATTGAAATCCCCTCAAGATGAACAGTTCGAGTTGCCAGCACTGGGAGAATCTGTTGCTAAGTATTAACCGATTTCTGGGTATATCATCGGCTGGAAATTGGATCCATTCCCTATGGTGCCTCTTTTTGCTTTTATATATCTGGGCAGCAAGCATTTGGAAGTGTATAGAATTCAACTTGGAGATGCCAACCATCGAGAAAATACTCTACTTGATGGAGTTTCCGGGAAACATGTCAACGGTTGCCTTTTTGGTTTATCATGCCGTAGTCAATTATTCGTGTGCCCAGAAAGTGGAGTTTCAGATTCATGGCCTGATCAGAGGACTCGAAAGCAAAGCTATTCGTAATATTTACAAGAAGCATGATAAAAGGACTCTTCACCTAATGGTAGTAACTATAGTTTTCCATGGTGTGTGTGCCCTAGTGGATATTGTTACCAATGACTATGAGTTTTGGAGCACCTGGTTGAGCAATAGTGTCTATAATCTGCCTGCTTTAATGTTGAGTCTGGGGCTACTCCAATATGCCCTTCCGGTGCATTTACTTTGGCTTCTGCTGGACCAGATGAGGAGAAATCTGGAGAAGCTGAAGTTGCGGCAGAGACCAGCGGAGGAAATAACCAAATTGGATGCTCGTTATGAGTCCGCTTTTGCTGCTTTGGTGGATGCAGGTGGTGCTGCTGCTTTGTTAATCGAAGAAATGCGCTCCACATGCAACCTTATTGGGCTGCTCCACAAACAGTTGCTATCCAAATTCGGACCCTTTTTGCTGTTAAACTTTGTCAACTCTTTGGTGAGCTTTTGTGTGGAACTCTACTTGGTTTTTAACTTCTTCGAGAATCCGCTGTGGGACGAGTCCATGCTGCTAATCTATAGATTGCTTTGGTTGATCATGCATGGCGGTCGTATCTGGTTTATTCTGGCTGTCAACGAACAGATCTTGGAAGAGGTAAGGGTTGCACTAATAATACTTAATTTATATTGATACTAATTAACTAAGCCCTCAGAAATGCAATCTTTGTCAGCTGCTCAACGAGTTGGAGGTTTGCAGTTCCCGCTTACAAGTCACCATCAATCGCTTTTTGCTGCAACTCCAGACGAGCTTGGATCAACCCTTGGAAGCCTGTGGAGTCGTCACGTTGGACACACTCAGTTTGGGCGGGGTAAGTGGGTGGCAGTCGGCCAATTAATCCTTTTGTTGCCATAGTTAATGTATAGCCTTTGTCCTCCGACAGTTTATCGGGGTTCTGATGGCCATCGTCATATTCCTCATACAAATCGGACTGGGCAATAAATCACTAATGGGTGTTGCCCTCAACAGATCCAGTTGGCTTTACGTGTGAATAAAGTGTATGATGGCATTCAATAAATTCAACAAAATTATAGTAAAGAAGGGGGATTACTCTATTATTTCTTTAAATATTTTATTAACTTAGAGATATTCACTCGGACCACAAAAATAGGAATAAATATGTAATAATAAATATATGACTATTGAATTTAAAATGTTTTGTATAATATTAAAATGAAATACTAAATTATAAGATTAAATACAATGCATCATAAAATATTAAAATATTTGTATTAAACGCTTTTAAATTCATTTTAATTTAAGTTAAATTACACTTTAAACTACATTCTCAGATGTTAAAACAGTTCCGAAAGTAGCCAAATAAAAATAATATTATACTTAAAATAACTAGAAACCTCTATGAATAAAAAATCGAATCTAAAAATATTTACAATAAGCTCAAAATTTACGTTTTTTTTAAGTTTCTTTTTAGTTTGGTTTTTTTTTATTAGATTCTGTTTAACAATAGTTTGTTTGATGATATTGGGATATGAAATACATCCAACTATTTAGGCTTAATACTCTTTTTTTAGAATATTTCATTGTAGGTTAGCATTTACCATGGGTATTGATGGACTTTTGTCTCTTCCCTTTAGCAATCAATCGGAAAGACAAGTCACTAATGGTTGCTCAACACATATAAAGATTAAATAAAAGCCCGGGCAGACAAGCTCTTGCTTTCATTTGGCCAGAATGAGCAACGAACGACTGAGGCTTTGGACTAGGAAAATCTCTGGCAGGATCCTCCGAGGACTATTGGCTTTCCTTCGGCTATTGCTTGCTGGCTGCGTGAGTTTCTCCGGTCGAATGCGGGATGTGGTTGCTCAGGCAGGAGCTGAAACTGGTCTGCTGGCCCTGAGTTTGTGCGTCAATCGGAGTATTCACGTGGTGGAACGGCTTTTCTGGCTGGTGGTGGTCATAAGCAGTGTTATTGCCGCTCTGGTGCTCAGTAGCTTTCAGCTGGAACGCTACTTCAGCTCCCCCACTGTAATCTCCGTGGATCGGGACTACCGCGGCTGGAATGGATCCCTGCCGGCAGTCACTCTGTGCTACTACGATCACATCGATTCCTTCAAAGCCAACGAGTATATCCAGGAGGTGTGGAATGTCTCAATCATCGACGAGGATTACTTCTACTTTATGGATTTCCTCTATGCGGTGGTAAATGCCACGGCCGGGAATTACGCCGAATTGGCCAAGTTTGCGGAGGACGAGCGCTTCGATCAGGTCGATCTCTACGAGATGATAGAGCGGGTGGACAGACCCTTCGAGCAGGTCATCAGCAGTTTCGACTCCGGCTTCCAGGTCCATGTGCAGCGTGTGATGACGGAACGGGGAGCCTGCTATGCCATCAATTCGCCCATGTCCACGGTTCTGAGTGGCCAGTAAGTAGTATGGGTATGGCCTTACCATGATCCTCCTCCATTACGTGGACTTGCTGCCCTTTCAGACCCGTTGCCTATGAACTGATGCCGCAGCCATTGTCCTGCCAGTATGGCAAACAGCAGTGTTACATCCGAATGGATCTGTATGAAAGCACTGGCGTGGTGAGTGCTGCACAATGGCAGCCATTCAATAGAAATTCCTAATTAAATATGAAATCAACCTTGCAGCTGGACGTCCATTCGCCGTTTGAGGTTTCGGCCACAGAGGCGAACATTGTGGCCCTGCACAAATCCGACGAGATAACCGCCTCGTTCAAGGTGCTCGAAACGGTGTAAGTAGACTTCCAGACTTCCAGACCTCCGGATCACACCCATCCAGACAGTGGCGTTTCTCTATGAGTCTGATTTCTATTATTATTAACCCCCATCTCCAGGGCATCGAAAAATCTACGCCAGTTGAGCGTGGCACAGCGCAAGTGTGTGTTCAACAACGAGGAGACATCCAACCTGAAGGTATCTATATCTATATACCTTATCTCGGGTGGCGGTTTGGGTCCAAGATGCTCTTGCTCTGGAGCGATGCCCTGCGTTTCGGTTCGGCAAATAAACAAATTTCTCAACTCAAATAATTGCATCTCTCAAGTTAAATAAAAAAGTGGAAGCTGATAAGCCGTATCAGTGCTAGAGACTTAAATATTCTATAGAACCTATCCCAGGCATTCTCCCTGTAATGCTTATAAAGAAAATAATATTATCTAGACACGTGAAATTTTAATAGTTGATTTGTAACTATTGTGGTCTTTATAACTTGCCGGTAAAAAAAAAGCCCTAGAAATAACCCACTTGTTGTTTTAGGTAAAATATTTATGATTATTAGTTTGATTTTGATTTATGGAAAATACGTATGTTGTTTCTAAGTTTGTTATATAGTATTTTCCACATTTGTGGTCATATAATTTAAAAAACCATGTAACATATACCTAATTATTTTCCTATTACCTACAATTTGTTATTCAAATGATTCAAACACACAGATCTACAGCAAATCCCTATGCCTGGCTCGATGTCGGGCGGTGATGGCTCTGGAGATGTGCAACTGCGTGCCCTTCTTCTATCCGTATGTCGAGGGTCCCAGTTGCAATCCCGCCGGATTCGAGTGCCTGCTGGACTTCAAGTGGCCCATTTGGGCGCTGCACATCTGCAAGTGTCCGTCCACCTGCACGGAAATCGAGTACACCATGCAGACGGTGAAGAAGAGCTCGTGGGGCGTGAAAAACAACGAGGAGGTGGCCAGTAGCGAAACAGCCACCTCCAGTTTCCGCTGGGACCTGATCCCTCCGAAGGTCCGGATGCGCCGGGATGTGGTCTACAGTTTTGAAGATCTAGTGGGTGAGTGTTTCTCAAATTTTTATTTATTTTTTCAGACTCTCATAATATATGAAAGGGTAGTTTCTTTATGGCAAACAATTTATGGAATGATATTTTTGTGTTTAATAGTTTTTTAAAGGAAATAAAATAAGTTTTAACTATTAATTTGTTTAATGTAATAATGAAAACGTTTATATTAAAATCATTATTAATTTTAAATTTAATTAATATAGATTTAAATTTAGAACAGGTTTATTCATGTCTCAAAATATTTAAATTTTGTCATAGGGTTATATCTGACTTATATCGATGGTTATGGCTGATTTATATCCTGAGTTTTTTTTAGTAAGATTCTTTATATTAATTAAATATCTTCCAGTATCCTTTGGTGGAGTCCTGGCCCTTTTCGTGGGCGTCAGCGTGATGGGTCTGGTGGAGATGGGCCATGTGCTCATCAACAACATGCTGCTGGACGCCTTCGCCGTGCTCCGCCTGGTTTTGGGCCATCTGAGGCGTTGCTGGCGAAGAAGCGACCACAAACCGGAGGCGCAACCAGTCAACGACCGACTGCACCACCTCAACGAGCGCCTCTCTTTGGCCGACACCGCTGAACTGCCGCCGTTTGACTATGTGAATTGATAAGCGACAATTAGCTGGAAACCCAAATGCGGTCAAAAGTTTAATGTTACTCGGCTGGGGGGTTGTTGTTGGGGGTGTACAACAAAAGCATGTCGCCGGCATCGACGTTGCCCAGTTGCCGCCAAGACCTCAACGCGAACAGTCGACTGGCTGCCTCTGACCGCGATACCCCCTCAACAGATTTAAGGTTTCTCGCACCACCCGCCCACGCACAGATCCCGAGCAGATATGCAAATACATTGTAGACGCGGTCGGACCCTCAGATAAGATAAGCCCGTGCTCTGCAGGTGTGATAAGTGCCAACACTCGAATAGCCAGTGTCAGAAAAGTTCCTCTGTGAGGTGACTGAACCCCATCTCCGGTTTGGAGTAAAATGCAGGAGTCCGGCAGTTCGTCGGACAGGGGACAGGGTCCATCGCTGTGCCTCGAGTGGAAGCAGCTCAACTACTATGTGCCCGCCCAGGAGCAGAGCAACTACAGCTTCTGGAACGAGTGCCGCAAGAAGCGGGAGCTCTGTATCCTTCAAGATGGTGAGTCAATGCTCCGGATGTGGTTGTGGGATGTGGCCATGTGGCTATGTGACTGTGTGGCTATGGGAATGGGACTGATTTGTGGTTTCCTTCGGTTTGACTTGGCTTGCAGCCAGCGGGCACATGAAGACCGGCGACCTCATTGCCATCTTGGGCGGATCCGGAGCGGGAAAGACTACGCTGCTGGCGGCGATTTCGCAACGGCTGCGTGGTAACCTGACCGGCGATGTGGTTTTGAACGGCATGGCCATGGAACGGCATCAGATGACGCGCATCTCCAGCTTTCTGCCGCAGTTCGAGATCAACGTGAAAACATTTACGGCCTACGAGCATCTATACTTTATGGTGGGTCCTTAAATCGTGTTCATTGATCTTTTTCATACCAAGTGTCCTTAGGTTCTTAATCTTTGCTCATAGTTAATTAAAAATTTCGTAATACTACCAAATAAATATCAACTTTTTATCAAGTTTTTACATCATTTGTAAACCCTTGCAGTGGGCTTTATATTTATTCAGTATTGTTTTTTACTAGCCATATATGTATAACTTCCTTATATAAAACAAACTTCGAAATACCTATAGTGATGGTTATCTAAGGTTTTAATTTTCGAAACTATCAAAAGTTTTAGGGTAAATTCGAGAATGTGATTGAAATTTTGAAACATATAGGCATAAAAATGATAATATAGTCGTCTTAAAGAAACTTTAATTTTGGTAGTTAATTTTAAATTAATATTTTTATTTACTTAATTTTTTTAATATCTGGAAGGGGGGATAAAGCTTCATTCATTTTAGTTAAAGATTAAAATATCATTGATATTTCATAATTTTTTTAATAATTTTTTTTTTTTATTGGATTAACTTATTTTTTAACCCTGCCATTTCCAGTCCCATTTCAAGATGCACCGCCGCACCACGAAGTTGGAGAAGCGTCAAAGAGTGGCGGACCTGCTTTTGGCAGTGGGTTTAAGAGATTCGGCACATACCCGTATTCAGCAGTTGTCGGGCGGAGAAAGAAAGCGCCTGAGTTTGGCCGAGGAGCTGATCACCGATCCCATCTTCCTGTTCTGCGATGAACCCACCACGGGACTGGACAGTTTTAGTGCCTACTCGGTGATCAAAACCCTGAGGCACTTGTGCACGAGGAGGCGCATTGGGAAGCACTCCCTGAGTCACGTTTACGGCGAGGATTCGTTCGAGACAGCGAGTGGACAGAGCAGTGCCAGCGGGAGTGGAAGTAAGTCCATCGAAATGGAGGTAGTGGGCGAATCGCACGAGAGTCTGCTGCAGGCGATGCGAGAACTTCCCACACTGGGAGTCCTGAGCAACAGTCCCAATGGAAGCCACAAGAAGGCGGCCATCTGCTCCATCCACCAGCCCACGTCGGACATCTTCGAGCTCTTCACCCACATCATCCTGATGGATGGCGGCCGGATAGTCTACCAGGGACGCACCGAACAAGCAGCCAAGTTCTTCACGGAGTGAGCTATTTCCTTTTCCTCAAGAGTTTTCAATTCAAGCGAAGGCTATTGACCTTTTGCAGCTTGGGCTATGAGCTTCCTCTGAATTGCAATCCCGCTGACTTTTACCTCAAAACCCTGGCGGATAAGGACGGAAAGGAGAGTGCCGGTGCTGTACTCCGGGCTAAATACGAACACGAGACGGATGGACTCTATAGCGGAAGCTGGTTACTAGCCCGCAATTACAGCGGCGATTATTTGAAACATGTGCAGAACTTGTGAGTTGTAATGAATGGAAAATATTTATATTTTATTACCCTTTACTCATAGAGTAAAAGGACTACTGTGTTCAGTGAAAAGTATGTACTAGGTAGATATTATAAATGCAAGTTATTAAATTTATATGCTTCAATATCTATCAATTCATACAGAAATGTTCCTAATCAAACCAATATTTTCGAACCTATTAGCATAAATGTAAATGTTCGGCAGATGGCGCCACCTTAAACCCGATTCCTTATTGGTGGCAAATTTATTTTAAAATATATAAACAGATTCCTTCTTGTTATAAAAATAATCATTCCCATTTCAGTAAGAAAATACGCTGGTTATATCAGGTATACCTGTTGATGGTGCGTTTCATGACCGAAGATGTGCGGAATATCAGGAGTGCCCTCATATCCTTTGGCTTTTTTATGGTGAGTAACCTACACAGAGCACAAGGAAAGAGTATTCTATAATCTGTAGCCATAGATCACAGCTGTAACGCTATCTCTTATGTACTCCGGAATTGGTGGACTTACCCAGCGAACAGTACAGGATGTAGGAGGCTCCATCTTCATGCTGAGCAACGAGGTTTTTGACTTTTTAGGGCCAAGTTATGGAATGGATAACTCATAAACTATATCCCTATAGATGATCTTCACGTTCAGTTATGGGGTGACCTACATATTCCCAGCCGCACTGCCCATCATCCGAAGAGAGGTTGGTGAGGGCACCTACAGCCTGTCAGCCTACTATGTGGCGTTGGTGCTCTCCTTCGTGCCAGTGGCCTTCTTCAAGGGATACGTCTTCCTGTCCGTGATCTACGCATCCATCTATTACACGCGTGGCTTCCTTCTGTACTTGAACATGGGCTTCCTGATGAGTCTGTCCGCGGTGGCAGCCGTCGGCTATGGGATCTTCCTCTCCAGCCTTTTCGAGTCGGATAAGATGGCTTCCGAATGCGCAGCGCCTTTTGATCTGATCTTTCTGATCTTCGGTGGAACCTACATGAACGTGGATACAGTTCCTGGGTTGAAGTATTTTTCCCTGTTTTTCTATTCCAACGAGGCACTGATGTATAAATTCTGGATTGACATCGACAATATCGGTAAGATACTTACAATTCGATAAGGAATATATTACTTTTAACAATTTCCCTTCCCTTTTCCAGACTGCCCTGTCAACGAGGATCATCCCTGTATAAAAAGCGGCGTGGAGGTCCTGGAGCAGAATTCTTATCGCACCGCAGACTACACCTACTGGCTGGATTGCTTCAGTCTGGTGGTGGTGGCCATCGTATTTCACATAGTCTCCTTTGGATTGGTGAGACGATACATACATCGCAGTGGTTACTACTGATTGGGGGCGCTTTTATTATACTAATTTCACTTTACACTCTTACAGAACTTGATTTCAGCTTAATTTCAGTTGCATGGAGTACTCACGCGATTTAGTTAGTTAAAATTTGTAATTTTTAAGCACAAACTGTTCTTAATACATCTAAACTTCAGTGGAAAATATTGCATTCATCAAACTTGAGTCGCATAAAATAAATCCCATATAGATCCTATATGCCGTTAGTTTAAAAAAGAATCTTAGTTGAATTTGTAACTAAATTTGTGTTCAAGGAAAAGTCTTGGGCGAGTCTAAGGTAAGGCGATCTATAAGATCTATACAAGATGTATTTTACATATACCTATTTATACGGTTGTCTGCCATTATATGAAAAGTGCTTGATTTTTAAGAGACCTGGCAGTTAAATAAATTAAGCTAAAACAACCAAAAAAATAATTGAAACAATAAACGGAGTAAATGTTGTGCCAACCTTGGCAAGAACAAAAGGGCGCTCGATTGCCTATTTTGATTCCTATATATCTGGTTCTTGCTCTGCTAGTAAAAGCATTACTTATTTAAACAAAATCCTTTTTTACTATGCTGTTTTAGCAGTCAAAGGAAATCTGTCGCTTGGCCTTGCCTCCAGAGTTGTTACTGTTGCCCACTGATTGCAATTGGAACTTTCGCGCCGAGCCGTTACTTCCACCACCGCCAAAGTACGGGCTGATGTTCTGCTGGTCCTTGCCGGTGAAGTTCTTCTGCGCCGACCGACGCGTTTCGCAGTCCATGTTCTCGCGCAGCGCCAGTCCGCCTAGGTTGCTCTTCGACGAGCTGTTCTGCAGCGTGGGATTGGGCCGGATGGGTTGCCGCTCCTTGCAGAACAGATCCTCCGATATGCGGTCCACTATACTCGATTGCGTATCCGAGCAGTTGTTCGTCGGCAGACTCATTTGACTCAAACCGAATGAATCGATGGAGTTCTCACTGCCGAAAAGGTTGTGCAGAGAACGCCCCGAACCGGCAGCTGCTCCAACTGCCGATGTTTGCGAAAGAAGCATCTTACGCTGGGCAAACTCCTCAGGGCTAATGTAGCCGGAGAGCCGGGTGCTAGACAGCCGCTTGGCCTCACTCTCCTGAGTGCGTGCCTGCAGGTAAACGTCATCCGCATTTTTGCCCGCAATCACGCTAAACGCAAACTTCTTGGCCAGCCTGCGGGAAATGTATACTTTCAATTAAACATACTGAAGGTTTAACCCAAACCCCGAAAGTTACCTTAGCAGAGTCTCACTGTTGCTGGATGAATGCCCCAGGTAGAATTCCTGGAAGATGCGCTTCACAATGCGTGTAAGATCTGCCGCATGTTGACGGAAGAGCTCGTGCTTCGCCGTGATCTTTCGCTCCTGCAGTGCCTGAGACACAGCCCAAAGCAATTTCTGTTGTAATAAAAGTGATAGGTTATGACTTTTAAAGTGAAAATATCTTAGGGGTGGGAATAAAATGTTAGATCACAGAAATAGCAAGAGAATTTGCTTGAAATAGTGTTCTGAAACAGTGCTTCTTTTCTTTCCCATTTATGAAAGTTAATATTTAAGTTTTACCTTTCGCTGGTTATCCGTCATACTGCTATTGGGAGTGGCGCTCATCTCCGAGTGCGCACGCAGCAGTTTACTCGCCAGAGGCGTACCACTCGCAAAGGAGGAGCTGTTCACCAGGTTGCTACGGCTGCCGCTCAGTCCCAGACTTAGACGCGTTTGGCCAGCGGGTGCAGCTATCTGCTGAGCCAACTTCAGCTGAACACCTGCCGTGGAGGAACCAGCTCCAATGCAGAAGCTCTGACTCTTGATCTTGAGAGCGCGAGGCGTCAAGCCACTGGGGCCACTGCTCTCGGCTCGGAATAGCTTGCTGCTCTGGCTAGCCAGGTCAGCGGAGTCCTCGTCATCGCAGGCATTCCTTTTTCGCTTTAGCAGCGACTCTAGCTGATTACTGCTGCCCTGGTGGTCCGGCGAGAAGAGAGCTCGCTTCGATCGCTCCACGCGATTGGCAATCTCAGGCTTGAAGAGTGGCTTGGGCGGCATAAGCTGCTGCTGCTGTTGCTGGAGCGACTTGGCTGGGCTTTGGAATAAGGCACGCTTGGAAGTTTCCCTCGAAGGTCCTGGCTTGATGAGATCGGTGCGGTACAGACGCTTGCGGGCGGATGAAGATGGCGTCTTTCGGGCTGTTGAATATTTGAATATGCCTTATTAGATTTTGAAATTCACTGCCGTATATTATCGCCTCACTTACCTTTGGTTTTGCTGCCCGGCGTCTTTCGTTTGGGCGTGGCTTTGCGTTTATTTCGCGCTTTTCTGTAAATTAAAATAATACAAGTTAGTTTCTGTTTGGGATTTTGAGTTAGTGTCAAAATTATAAAGGTACCCACTTCTTATCTACCATAAGTTGTGGTCCAATGGAGCTGTTGAGTTTCAGTGAGTTGGTGGCCAGATTTGCAGAAGAAAATATGGCACGGCGCTTGGCCAGGTGACTAAGTCGATTGCCAGGCGATTGAGTTAACATTCTGTAAACATTTATGTTTTATAAGTATTTTGTGATTGTGGCAAGCTATTGCATGACTTACTTCATACGCATGTTTCGCTTCTTGGCACTCGAGGGGGATCGAACGTAGGAAGTGGCTGTTTCCACGCCCACGTATCTGTCCACCACGGACATGCTGAGGTATTCATTTTGTTCGGCAGCTTTGTTAAGATTATAGCTGTGAGTGGGACAAGTATAGTTCGAATATTACAAGCATACCACAATAACTAGAAGGGCTTACCTCAGTCCATGATGTCGCACTCCAAGCACGTCCCGCCAGCCCATGTTTTGAGCCTCGGAGAGACTGTGAGTGGGTTTGAACAACGAGGTCGTTTCACTTATGCCACTGTCCTCTATTGCGGGCGTCGAGGCTGGCGAATCCTTAGAGAGAAAGCTGAGTACATTTGACTTCATGCTGAGCACCATTTTGATGACATCCACATCGGGTGTAGTCACTGTGGGCGGCGGGCGCACGCCCTGAAGACAGCGCCGTATCCGCCGATAGAGTTCCCGCTCGCGCCGGCAATTCTCCAAGAAATGCGATCGTGGATCGTTGGCGTTAAGCTGGGTGGCCGACAGGTCCATCGTTTGCTCATCCACAAAGCTAGACTCGGTGGGGGCGGTTAGAGAGCAGCGGGCGCGCACATCGCTGGTGCACTGCGACTCCTCCAGCACCTCAGGCAAATCCTCAAGCCTTGTGGCCGGCTCCTTATCCACCTGATCATCATTTTCCGCTTCCTCGTCGCTGTCGGCAAAGAGATCGGGCGAGCGTTCATTGTTGAACTTATGCTGCGAAGTGTTCAGCGATGTATCCAGCACGGTGGCGAGTCGGGGATTGGCATTGGAGGGACCTGGCTTCTCCTGATCGTCAGGTCTCGCAGTCAGACTTTTAATTTTGCCATCGAATGAGAGGCTGCCCGTGGATGTCGTGGAAGTGATGGCAACCGACACGGCCATGTCCACGGCATTGCAGCTGTTCTCCTCGATGAGGGTGTCGTAGAACCGGGGAAACACAATCTTTCCCGGCGAGGGGCGACGGACGGCTGGGGGTTCCACCTCGGGCAGTTTTAGGTTTTGCAGCTGGGAGCCGTAGAGACGTTTGTTCACCTGGCCATAGGGACTGTCGCCAAAGCCCAGGAACTGGGACTCCTGGCTGCCTGGCTTTTGGTTGGGTGGCGTCGGTGTCTCCGCAGTGGAATTGCTGTTGACGGGCTGGTTGCTCAGTGGTTTCGGTTTCATTAGATACGGCAGATTCATGTGCTCCTCGTCAGATATATGGCCCTCATTGTTTTCACTGAGCGAAGACTATAAATATAGGAATTGAATAAAGTCTTTTGCCTGCAAAGTGCAGCTATTAATCTTACCCCGCTTCCCGTAGAAGGCTCCGATTCGTAGCTGTTGTTTATTTTATTCCTAATTGAGTTGCTGGTGGCCATTCTTTGAATAAAAATAGATTTTTTGTTGTAGTTTTATATCCCCTAGTTATTTTAGGCACGCGGCATTTTGTACAGGCTCGCTCCACTTTTTGGAGCTCGATAAACACTGCGAAAGTCCGGAGAAAATGAAAGCGAAAGTACACAAGGGACAGCTGCTGACAGTTTTCTTATCTGAGCCGCATTAATCTTGATGAAAGTGCATTTACCTTTTTGGAAATGTGGCACTTTTCCCAGGTCGGGGAAAACTAAGCAGCCGCCCAAGCGAAAAACGCGCGTAGAAGTCAAATTTTTGCGGGCATTTAATGCGTTCGAGTCGCACGCTCCGAACTTCTGTGTAATTTCCAGTTGTGCGCGCGACTTTGGCGGACTTAGTTCATCTTAACATTTGATCTCAAAACACCTTTAATTAGTTAATTTAGTTATAAAATACTGTTGTTTAAAATCGCTGTCTGCGTGAACATCTGCCCGATTTTGGCGGTGGTACTAACGCGTCTGGGAAATGCCATTAGTGATGGACGATAGTTTACCAGTCACCAAGCGGTGATCACGGTTTCGAATGATTGTTCTTGAATTTGAATAATTAATCTTAACATATATAAAAATGGATCTAATTAAATTGTCTTTTATATTATTAGTCACTGGTAAACAATATTTATTGTACAAGTACTAGTTATTATTCAAATTTTACTTGTTGTATTGAGTTCATTCGATATTTTTTGTACTTAACCGTTTCATGGGCAAGCTATCGTCAACAACTATCGTCACAACGTGCAACCCTGGTAAGCAGCTGTTTGTGTATAACATCGCACAATAACAACAAGTCTTAAAACTTATTAAATCTTTTATCTTTGCTGCTGCCAGAGGGCTTTTAATCGAGGCCCCCTACTCTAAAAATCCCCACCGAGTGCGATACATTCAGTTGTGCCCAAGAGACTGTACGTTACAGGCCGTAAAAAACAGCTTTAATTACTCACTTTTCAGCCAGTGGCCTTTTTAGAAACAACAACAACCACTGAGCCAACAACGCATCATCCATTTTACGGAAAACGTCATCTTAACCCAACGAAAGCGATGCGATTAACCCGCTAGTCTCGGCGAAGATGCGCGGAATTGAGGGCAAAGTGCTGGTTCTAGGCTCGCGAGGTAAGAATTACACACATATGTATGTATGCATATGTACCCTGCCTCTTTGGGTTCCATTCACAAGCCCCGCTGATCCGTATAATGCAAGTTATTCTTGCAATTTGCCCAGTGATAAGCAAATTGCCCGGGGTGAGCCGATAAGCCGCAGCCTTGAACTGCACTCCACCCCCAATCGGGAATTGGGATTCCGGAATCTGAAATCGGTTTGGTGCTGAAGAAAGGCAGATTGTCTGGTTGGGATTGGGCTTATCAGTCCTCTGAATTCCATGACTTACTTAATCACCATAGGTATTCAAATCTGTATTTATTGAACATAAGGATTTGTATTACAGAGCAAATATTTTAATACTTTATATGGAAGGCCATATCTTTTAAACATACAGATTTAAGAATGCAAATTGTATCTAAGCTTTTCTCTAAAGGTCGAAATATCTAATTGCAACAGTTTCGTAAGCTTCAAATATTTATTTAATTCTTTTTGTTTGTAAAACTAGATCTAAATTTTACATTTTCCTAAAAAAAAATTCTTAAAGTGTAATTGTCTCTACAATTTGCAATGTTAATATTTAAGTTTGCTACAAGGCCAGGCAAAGTTTACATAGACACCTATGTATTTTCTTTGTACATACGTTGCTTATATATCAATTAAAGAATAAGTGTTTGACTTATGCCGCACAAAGACATGCATTGATAAAAAAAGGCGGTGCTTTTCCTGAGGTATATGTTCTTCCCATGATCATCGGGTGATTCAGCGCATATACTGCAGATATAGGGGCAGATTCAATGTCCGTCCAGTCATGGAATGGGCTTTTCTGTACCGCAAAAGTGTGCTGCAAACAAAGACTCTGGTGGTTGGAACGCGATTTTCTTATCAATGTTTACCACCTTTTGTAGGGTAGTTCGTCTCCAATTTTTGTTTATTTTATTTATTTGCCATGATTAATCAGTAGTCAATTAATGCGTGCGCCATGGCGCGCTCACTGAATTCAAGCTGATAAGATGTCGGTTATAACTTGAAAAATTAGGGCTCACGGGTACACGGAATATTATTTTCGTATATTGTAAAATGTTATCCAATAACCCATTGTATGAAATATGAAAAATATTGTCTATGGTAGGAAGCTAAAGAGTTATGTACTTGCAGTGTACATTTTTGTAATGCAATTTACTTAATTGAACCATAGGTTGTAAAATATGGATATGAACATTTAATTTACGCAATCATTTATTTATTGTTTTATTTTTCAGGTGTGGGCAAAACACGATTGGTCATCAGGTACATAAAGAACACCTTGCACAGGAGTGAGAGCGAGGTCCCGACAATAGCCGTGTCCTTCTTCACGTGCAACATCATTCTGGACGAGGTCAAAATAAAATTGCAAGTGCGTATCCACCGGCCAACCATGTATCAGTGCACCCAACTCTTTTGGGGGGCGAACGCAAATGGAATTGCCTCGTAAAAAAGCCGAAGCCAAAGGCAAAGGCAAAGCCAAAGGAATTTGCCACTGCCCCGCGCCCACTAATCCTATTTGCCGGCTTGGCTGCCCGAACGCTAATCTGGGTTTATTCTGCCACTGACTTCGCCACGGGTCCAGTATTTGTCCGCCTCCGCCCCACTGTTTCGGTCACTTTATTTGTTTTTTTTATTTTGCTATTTCTGCGTCCACTGCACTTTGTGTGTTATTCGCTTTTTTTAGCGCACTTTCTTTTTTTTATAGTTTATTGATAAGCTAAACGCGAATGGCAGCAGCTCCTCCCAATTGTAAAAGGGTTACCACCCACTTGGCCCTGGCTAACATATTTTCTCTTGGATGGTTTCGATTTTGATGGCCACAATAACTAGACAAGAAGTTTAACAGTGCCGAACATATTTTCACCCTTAAAAGGTTTTTATCCAACAATTCTTGTAATATTTTTAAAATGGTAGTACTTGTTAATGTTAGTGTAAATTCACTCAGTACAAAAACGCATTTTACAAATATAATCCCTAATCTAGTTATGTGTGAGGAGAAAAATTCGTCATATTAGAAATAACCACAGACATTCGATATATCAGATTAGCTTGCCTTTTTAAAAATTAAAGCATACATATGTATTTATACTATGGAAAAACATGCACGAAAAAACAAAAAAAAAAATAGGACGTACTTAAAAAGTGTTCGTTTCAGTGCATACTAAGAAACAGGTCAGCTTTATTTTTCCTTCTTAGTTGACCTCCATACATTTCAAAGTATGAGTTTCGCCAGGCCAGCAGAATCAAGCGTCTGAGCAAAATAAATATGAATACATAATAGGATATTGTTTGCGTATTCCGCTTGTTAGTTTCGCATTCGGGTTTCTTTGTTTTTCCCTTTGTGGGGTTTTGTGTGCTTCGATTTAGTTTCGCCAATGAACAAGTCGTTGCCCCAAAATTTTTATGAAGCGCATAAAGAGGAGTCCCCTTCAAAAGACCTGAAGTACGCGAATCCCATATCCAATATGATTGTTATTGCTGTGGGAAAGCGCGGCCATAAAGAGCGCAATTGCAGAATAAGCGGCGAATGACTCAATTAAAGTTCAAGTAGCGGACGAACTCTAGCCACTGGTTGTTTTTTCTGCTTTCAGATTTGGGACACAGCTGGCCAGGAACGCTATCGGGCAGTGGCGCCCATGTATTATAGGAATGCCAATGCAGCCATTCTGGTCTTCGATCTGACGCAATACAAAACATTCACGGAGATAAAGTCGTGGATCCAGGAGTTGCATCGCAATGTCCAGGATCCGATGATAATGACGCTGGTGGGAAACAAGATGGACATGCAGGCACAGCGAGCGGTTTCCCGCGAAGAGGCTTTCGTGTTTGCCACCTCGATTGGGGCCACCTACTTTGAAACGTCCACGGAAACGGATCAGGGACTGGAGCAGGTGTTTATCTCCACGGCCCAGGGATTGGTTCGTCTGGCGGACGAGGGCAAGAGCCCATCGTTGCGCTCCTTTGAGTCGACTGATTCGCTGGCCTACACCAACACCAACACTGCCTTCAGTCACACGGTGGCCGCATTGGCCAGAAGCCCTGGAAATGCCGCCTTCCGTCTGCCGTATGTGGACATTGGGCTGGCGGTGGAGGGCGAGGATGTGAAGACCAATGGCGTGGGACGGCTGGAGACGGCGCCCTGGAGCATCGAGCACATTGCTCTCGGCGAGGTGGAGAGGCCCAGCTGGTGCTGCTACTAAGATCTTTGTGATCCCTAGGATCCATCTCTGTGAATGAACCACTGTGATGTCAACAGAACCAGACTGTAGTTCGAATACGGCTTTAAAGGGCCAAACCAGCATCGTTTAAGCAATCAACCGATCCCAACCCAACTCTAGATACGCAAAGACCAAAAGCAGCCACCACAAAGGCAAAAGCAAGCTTGGCTTGAAGCTATGTATTAATACACTGATTAGGCTAGATCCACATGATCCAATCGATCCACTTGAAACACTCGATCCACTGACAAGGCGCTGGGATTAACCGCTTCGTTGTAATCTTAACCCTAGATGCTAAGTGTATACAGCAATTGCCGCGTGCATATTATGACTTTATATATTTCTTTCGCTCTAAGCCCATTTGACTTATCAACCATAGAATTAACCCACAAACACACGAGCAAACACAGGGAACAACACTCACAAACACTCACCCACAAATCATTGAAACGAAAATACCAATTCATGTACAAAGCATTTTATACGGCATGCATATAATAAATATAAATGTAATAATGTATACAGGGTGCTTTGTCATTTTGGGGGGTCGCCACGCCCCCAGTGGCGAATTATCGGGCTAACGGCAATGCAAGTGCATTAAGTTGGCCATTAACGCGGCAACTTAACGTGTAATTGGAATTTAATGCCCTCATAACAATGCCAAGGGTTACAATTGTATTGGCTTCGCACAGCTCCTAATGCTTTAGCATTGAGTTCGCCATAGAAGCGTGACCTGGTAGTTTTATTAACCCTTGTGCGTCACTTTGGGGGGTCTACGATGAACGTGCATTATAGATTAATAACATTTTTGGCACCGAAATTGTTAATGGGTTGCTTTTGTAATCAGATGAATGGCTTACCTTATTTTAAGAACTTGATAATTTCAATGAAAAGTTAGCTTAAGAAAGATTATAAAAATACTTAAAACAAAAAAAAAATTTAAATCAAATACGGTACATCATTATACTTATTCAAGCAAAAACTTTCTCAAACATATTAAGTGATTTATTAATAAAAACTTATTTTCAAATTAAATTTTCGAAATTGGACATCAAAAACATTTTCCAGTCTAATTGATATAAAATCAATAAACCGTACGAGCTG